AAAAATTAAGATCTGATCTAGAAAGAGGAGTTTCAAGTCTCCCCATGCTGATACTTGTCTGTGACTTATCCCTGGCTATAATATTGAGACAATATGCCTGTAACTCCAGAAAGAAGATAATGATTCTAAGTTAATTCTCATATTCTGGGGCTGCTGGAGATTTCAGGTTCCATGGAGCTAAAGGACACCTGGCTCAATCATAGTCAAAGAAAACAAGGCTTAGGTCTCCCAAATGACAGTGAGACACAAAGGATTAGCTCCTGACTGTATTGCAAAAACTCATGGTACTGATTCATATACATTCCAGGGAATTCTTTCATATAAGTTCTTCACAGAAAAGAGACTGGACTGGAGCAGCTGTGGTGAATCCCATGAAGGTTCTAGTTTTTCTCTCCTGAGAATCTGACCAAGATTTGGGAAGAAACTTGATCTGAGCTAGAAGTTTAAGTTCCCAGATTCTCCAGTATCAACTCAACCCTCCAGAACCTTCTCACAGACAATAATCCCAGACCCCCAAATCTGAAACTGGAGACCAAATGCCTGCTATTTGAAAGAGCTGAAGAAAGAGTTTAAAGAAATGGATAAAATATTACTATCTCTAGTCTGCCATCCAGTACTCTTATTAACTCACTAAAACAATTATACCTTGGAAATCCCCTTTCTCACATCCCATCCTTTTTGGAAAGGACTGATTTTCCCTTAGTTTTTGTTAATAAGAAAGCAGAAAACACAGGCGCATCTTTAAGACTCCCTCTCAGAAATGCAATCCAGATCTGGCTTTGCAGTGAAACAGTTTCTAGCCTAATATCGAAGTGTTCTATTCTTAAGGCCACCATCCAGATGCAACTGCGTAGAAGAGAAATGGAGGCCTTCCTCTTTTGCCAAAGGGACAGACAACCTGGGTGTTTCAGGTCACATCTTGAGTACCTCTCAGCATTTAAGTAGACCTTGCTTTGTGAAAAATGGCAGGAATGACTGTGAAATGAAAACAGTCTGCTTGCTTCCTTAAAGAAAGGCTCGGTTTGGGGCCCTTGTTTAATCTCAGAAATTGTAATCTATCGCCACCTTGTGGTCGTTGTGCTTGTATTTGGAATAACAAGAATTGGGGCGTTTTGAGATTTGTGAAAGATTCGCCCAAATACAAATCCCCCAGTCGTCCTTGATTGATTCTTTTTTGCTAGAAGGTTCACAGCCTCTGAACATCAAAGGGGAAGGGGCATTTGACAATTATCTGAATCCAGCTCTCTTCGGTACAAGAAGTGATTGTTTCCGGAGTCCTCTCCAGCGTTCTGGCAAGAATTCTGCCTCCTTCACCCCCCTTTAACCCTTCCCTGCCTGCCAGCAGCGACCGTTAGGTGCTCTGTGGGGAGAAGGGTGTGAAGGTAACTGCTGTCCTCCGTTGAAAGTCCAGACTGATTGGGGAGCTATCTTTAGCGTGCACAAGCACAGCACGTGGATCTGAACTCTGACTTAAGAAAAGCCGAATGTAAGGTTAAACGACGCTCCCTCCCCAGGCTTCGCCTCGGGAGACAGACGTTTAAGCGGTAAGCACTGCGTATTTTTTTCCTCTTTTGCTCATAAATTAGATACTTAAAATAGACCTTCCAGAGCCAGCCGGGATGAACCAACACGTGGCTCTAAATTACCTTGTCTGGAAGTTAAAAATGCTAAGTGCGTCAAAAAAAAAATGACGTTTCTTATCTACTTACCTTGTCACACAATATTTTACTCAGAAAATTTTTTTTAATTTTAAAAAATAAATAAACCTCTATCTGGAGGCATGGCTCAAGCTGTAGCGCGTCTGCCCAGCAAGCGCAAAGCCCTAAATTCAAACACCAGTACCGCCAAAAATCTCCCCGGAACCGGGTTGGGGCACCCCTTATACGCCCTACGCTCCTCCCACCCATCCACTTTTTTCTTTCTCGGAAAGCCTTGGCCCCAAATGCGTTTGGAATCTCTAAACCTCCCAGCAAAGGGCATTGTGGGCGAAGGACTGTGTTCCCAAGTCCCAGCCACGACCTAAGGTAATGTTGTCCTTGGCAGACAGGGCAAAGTAGCCGGGCCGCAGGCTCCCCAACGCCCCGGAGAGAGACCGGAAGGACAGCAGCATATTCGCCCACTTCTTTGCCTGTAGGCGTTGCTTTGCCATTTCTTCAAAGCGCTAAACCTTAGATGTAATGCAAACGAAACAGCTGGGCGGACACCACTCCCTTCCGAGCCACCCCTCACCACCGGTTCGAGTCCTTGGAGAGGATATCTTTTTTCCACCCCCATTATCCTAAGCATCCTCCCCTGAAAGTATTAAGATAAAAAGAGTGAAAACCACAGGTAAAAATGTAAGGTTCCAAATATTGGTTCTGAAAAGCCAAGTGACAACCAGCTATCCTCAGTCCAAATTCTTACGAGGAGAGGAGGGGGGTGGGCAAAACACACCATCTCCCAACGAGGCAAAATAAACAGCAATTACTGTCAAGAGGGAGGAAGGTGGGGGCGAGCCCAGAAGGCTGGCCCTATACCAGTGGTGATGCAGACCAAAAGCAGGCGAGTGGGGCCACGCGGTGACTGTCCTTGGTGCTGAAATCTGTGTCCTGCCTCAAAACTGATGTACTGGACCTGGGTGGATATCCAGGCCTTTGATTCCTTACCATCCCTGCTAAGCCCAAGAGGCTGAGTTGGGATGGGAGATAACTGGAAATTAAATCAAAGTCATGAGTTCCCACGTCTACTTCTCGCCCTGGCTCACTGGAATGTCAACTCTATGAGTGCAACGGTAATGCAATCTAAAGCAGAGACAGCAGTGGCTGGAACACAGTTGGTCATTAATAAATATCCATTTAATTAATTACTAATATTTAAACATCTTAAAATTAAGGACAAACAGGAGCCTTCATTCCTTCCCTCCCCACCATAAAGGAGAAAAAGAAAGGTATCCTCAAAGCTGTTCCATGCTTGTAGAAGATTCTTTTTATCCAACTAGAATTTTCTTGGCTGAAGCCTTAGGGGTGAGACTTTTGGGTTCTGCAGTCAAAGAAGGAAGTGGTTAGAAATTTCTCAATCTAGTGCCACAGGTGAAGTAAATGCATCTTTGCAAAAGAGAGTCTTGGGTCCTGAGTGAAGGTCGTGGAGACGCAGGGCGAGTGGGCATCTAGGTGCGACTGTGGATATCTAGGGACACCGAGATTTGTTGTCTCCTCCCTCCTGTCTCTTTGCGGGTGAGTCTTGAATGATTAACCACTGGCACCCAGCTCCTTGATTGGTAGGACATTCTCTTTTTAGGGAAGGCCAGAGGGAGGGGGCGGGGATGAAATCCAAGTTCATCTCTGTAAACCGCGCATTTCAAGCAGTTTGGAGAAGCTATCGAATGCGCCATTTGGAGGGACATTTCCTATGCGAAACAGGCACTCCCATATACACCATGCGAAACCCAGAGCCCCGGCACCTGGAGCTACGGTCACGGTGCACCCCGCCGTTCAGGATGCTTTTGTGTCCTTACAAAGTGTCCGGGTGTTTATTGTAAGGTAGACAGAAGGCGACAGTATTTGCTTTAGTATCCAAAGCAACGCTGTTATTTAAAGCTTCACTGTACCTCCCTCTTGGTGAGCGGACTCTATCTTCCCAGGGCGGGATCTTCCATCTCCCTTACGGAATTTTCAATGATTTATAAGATTTTTTGGTGTTTTCACTGTGTCGTGTGAAAATTGGTAAGATATTCACAAGGGACAAGCTTCGTATAAAGCAGCGAGGGCCCCAGACGTGAGCATAAATAAACCCCTGCCTGCTGCATCGCAGCTGGAAGAAAAAAAAAAATCACTGTGAAAACGAGTAAAGCGAGTACATGGTGTCACCCAAACACGCACAAAGATCAACTTTGTTTTTCCCCAAAGAAAAAGTAAACAGAGGAAAGAAGAGAGCACAAACTAGAGAAGAGAGTGGCTGAGGGAAGGCATAAAAAAGAGGCAAGCGAGTTAGAGAGCCGGGCCAAGCAGCTCCAGGTGTTGGCTACGGCGCGCAGAAACCCCCGGAGCACAGCGACTCTTGGTCTCTGGGCGCTTGGCGCCCTCTGGTGGGAATTGTTCCGCCAACCCCCTTTTCATGATGAGGGACTTTACCCAAGGCAGCAGTTCATTAATGTGCTTAAATATTGCAATGGGAGCATGTAATCGAAAAGGAGTGAGGGGAGTGGGCCAGGGGAATGAGGTCCGTCACACTCCTCCCAGGCCACCTCCGTGCTAGGGTTCCCCAAGCGTGTAGAGCGGCGGCACTCGTGCGTGTTATTAACCTTCAAACATGATCAATCAGGACTTCTTTTCCCATCATCAGGGTAGGGCATACAGAATGGGAAATGGGGACCATTTTTCTCTGGTGACACAGGTAGCTATGCCAAGATGAGGTAATTTGGGGATGCCTCGATCTGGATGAGGAAAGTGGAATGAGAAGGCAGTCTGGTCCCTGGACTGAGTGGTCCCCCTCCTCTGCCGCCTGTGCCTTTACAGCAATTCTGGCTCTAAAGGGAGGCAGTGAAGGCACCACCCAGAGCAATTTCGCCCAAGGAAGCGCTGCAGGGTCGTAGATCTGGGGAAATCATTGGGAAAGAGATTGAGGTAATGCCACTACTCTAGTAGTATCCCTAAGATATGGGAGAGGGAAGAGAAGGAGGGAAGAAAGAAGAACCGCTCAGCGAGGCAGATGCTTCGTAGGAATTGTCTTTTCCCTCCTCTCACCGACACCCTGACTATTTCAAAAAATAGACCGTGCTGAGTACGTTCTGGATTACTCATAGGACCTTCCTCCCCTCCCCTGGGCGCAAAACCGTGAGCTGGATTTATAATCGCCCTATAAAGCTCCAGAGGCGGCCAGGCACCTGCAAAGGAGCCCCGCCGCTCAGCGGACAAGCTGCCCCCGCGAGCAGCGGCCTCGTGATTCCCCCGCGGAGCGGGTCCCCGCCTCCCCACTCCGCCCCCGCCTCCCCCGAAGCCTAGCAGCAGCCTCTCCGGATCTCTCTCTCCTCCTCCAGGCTCTCTCGTGCCGGACAGGGATAGCGCAAGCTAGGAAGCAGCTAGAGGTGACGCCGGGCATTTACGCCTGTGGCAGAGCCTAGCCAGAGTAGAGCGGATCGCTGAACGCTACGCAGAGGAGCAGCGGGAGTGTCAAGCTCGCAGTCGCCGAGCCGAGGTGGGTAAACGCTCGACCGCCGGGACTTCCAGCACCCAGGCTCGCTGTTCAACCAGGTCCTCTCCACCCACGGCTTCTGCTCACCCTCTACCCCAGCGCCTGCCGCCCACTTCCGGAGCCGAGCGTTTCCCGCCAGCCCCAGTCCAAGCTCTCCGAGGGTACCATGCGCAGGGACCCCTGCGCTCTGCACCCTGCCCCTCCTAGTCCGCCGTTTCCTGTCCCGAGGACGCACAGAGGCTGGGGTTGCCTTGAAGTGAGGCTAGAGCGATTTTCCCTTGTGCTTCCAGGCTTCCAGCGCCAGGCTCCAAAAGGCGCCTGGGTAGCAGCAGCCGAAGGTGCGATAACCTGTTACTTCCCCAAAGGCGGTGTTCCACGGCCGTCCGCGTGGCATTGAGAGTACGCGCTGGGCTAGGTGTGGGGCGGAATAGGGGAAGCGCAGGCCGTGACTGCTGGGCTATTCTCTGCGGGGTCTTAGATCCAGCCAGATTTGCCCTCACTCACTCGGTCACCAGAGCCTGTGGACGCCATCGCTCCAGCGCCAAGCAGGGGCGCCGCGCACGAATCTTTGTCCGCCGCCTTTTGCGCTTTGGGCGCAAGTTCGTCTCCACAGTGACGTTCTCCTTTCTAACCTCCCCCGCCCTGTCCGGTTTTGTACCGCGAAGTCGGGGTGGGGGGTATAGGGCTAGGTAGAGGAGAAACACCGAAACTGGGACGCAGCCTCGCCTAGGCTTGAGATGGCTTAAAACCGAGTGGGACAAGAGGCAAACGAGTGAGATTCTGACCCCTGCTTTCTGGATGTCTGGAATGCAAGGTGACTCTCTAGTTCTTACTGGGGTCAAGTCTGGGAAAAATGAAAAGATACAAATCTTTCTTTCAGCTCACCTTGTCTCACCAGAGTGCCCGGTTCCCGGAGCAGTTAGCCTCCTTCTTTCCAGGGAATTAGCCAGACACAACAACAGAACCAGACGCCAAGCCAGACGTGCCCGCCCCGCGCGCTCTCCCCCCGCCTGCCCGCACGCCGGCTGCTGGGAACCCAATAGGGCTTGTCGTGGCTTGGCTGGAAAATCGCGCACTGAGTGCTTCCTTGTGCTCCTAGCCCAATCCCCTGCATACCCCCCCGCGTCCTGTACTGGCCTTGGGCCCCCCCTTGTCTCAGAGCTTCACTCATGTAGTCCCGCTGCACCTCCAGACTGGGGAGCAGCCTAGGGTTACGTTGCCTGAGCTTGCTCGCACGTCTCCCCGCTCCCCCCGCCCCCACACTAACCGTGCACCCCGACCCAGCCAGCTCGCTGCCCTCCTTCTCCCTTCTCCTTTCCGCAACGACACTTCAAGGGGAGCTTCAGCGCCTGGCCGCTTAGTCGCCTCCGGTGCGCAGGACTTCGGAAGCCCTCCCCGCACAGCTCCCGCTTCTCTTTGCAGCCTGTTCCTGCCCCCGACCCGCCGAAGACTCCAAACAGTAGAGACCCCCGGACAACTGAGGTGATGGCTTCTTCGACTCCTTCTTCGTCCGCAACCTCCTCGAACGCTGGAGCAGATCCCAATACCACCAATCTGCGCCCCACAAGTAGGTCCTGTCCCAGTTTCCTATCGAATGGACTGCGGGGAAGATGGGGGCGCTGGGACGTCTGGAAACTGCGCTGTCAGAAAGGGAAACCTGAGCGCACAGATGATGGAGGCTGGGAAACAAATGGGGCCCTAACCCAGGTTTCTGCTAGAGGTCATTTGACTGTCAGGGACGTCAGGTTACTCCCAGGGCACCAAAGAGCGAGGAGCATGCCGGGGCTGAGCGGCGGTGATCGTTGGGGGCTGAGCGGTAGGGTAGGGGCGCTCGCCGAGAGCACTGTTTTTGTTGTGTTGTGGTGGTTTCTTTGCCGAGTGGGACACAGGGGTCAGAGTAAGGGCTGATGTGGGGAGCCGGGAGTCCCAGCAGGAATAGAATTTTCTGTCTCTGGCTTTCGTTGAGCTAAGATCTGACATCCTCCTCCCTTTTTCCCCCTGCGCTGTGCTCAAAGTCTATAATCAGCGGAAATTTCGACGTTAATAGCAGCTTTTTGAAAACTCAGGGTACCTAATTGCTCCAAATTTGCCTCGAGCTATTGACGGGTGAGAGCGAAGCCAGGGGCGGGAAAGGTGCACAAAACTGTTTCAGACTGAGCCTCGACATTTCATACAATTAATTACATCTCAGAGACCAAAAGGGCGGGAGGGGGGATCGGGAATCACCTTGAGTGGCAAGAGGAACTAGGAGGAGGCAAAAAGGTTTGTCAGGGCGAGAGGAGAAATCACTCCTCCTTTCTCCCCAGCAAGAGAACTGTCAGCAGGTGACAAGCCAGAGAGAGACCAGATAAAGGGGGTTGGGGAATTTATGCTACTCCATCCGCTCCTCTACCATTTGCAGAATCTGTCTTTAATTCGGACTGACGTTATACCTCTAGGTAGAGGCCTGGGGATGAAGGATTTGTTTTTCCCTTTTCCATCTTGGGGTGAAGTGTCTCCTCCGCCCACCCCACCCATCTATCAGCTCGAGACAGTAAAGCCTCAGAATTTCTCTTCAGGAGAAACTTGAGGAGGACAGTGTGGTTAGAAGGAGGGCTTGTTCTGAGTTTTTAGGGCACTTTCTATAAGCTTGAGAACATAATTGCCCTCATCAGCGCAAGTGGGAGGTATTATTCGGGAAAGCCTCTTCTCCAATCCTTTAGCTTTAGCTGCCGGGCCGGCAGGCGGCCTTTCTAAGTCCCTGGGCCACATTCCAGATCCTTTTGCAGCTCCCTTTTCCCGCCACCCAGGTGAGCTACAATTACCCACCAACAAAGAAGGACTCGGACAGCTGCCAGTCCAGGTGGCACGTGAGCCAGGCTCCGACGGTAGAGGCGGAGAGAGCAGGCCGGGAGGAACTCGAGGCCTGCGTGCCTTTTGTCTATTGCTTTGGCCTTGATAGATTTCTTTTCCAACCTCATCTCCCCACCGCCACCATTTTATTTAGGGGTGTGCGTCTTTCCTGTTTGCCTGCGGTGTTGGGCAACAGTTGCACTCACCCACCAGCATCCCCATCTTTCAACTCTAGATGCCCCATCTTCCCGGCTGACCGCGGTGGTGTGCAAATGCCTAGTCCACACTTAGCCTATCGCGCCTGGAAGCCACCAAGGTGGAGACAAGAGACCCGAGGACTACACACACGCGCGCGCGCGCGCGCGCACACACACACACACACACACACACACAGAAGAGCAAGCAGCCCTGTCCCAGGGATACCGGTCCTCAACAGTCCAGCTGCGGTGTCAGTGCCCCAGGCTGAGCGCGCACAAACAATGCTCTGTCCATTTTCACCCTCCCCTGCAGACACACCCTTGCCCAGCCTGCTGATTCCACTTCTTTGCCCTTTCAAGGTCTCCTGGAGGTGTCCTTGCAGCGCCTGTACAACCTGACTCTCCTCCCTCTCGCTCTAGCAACCCCTGGGTCCTGCTCAGAGTCCTCCTTGCGCTCGAAGACTAGGTCTTCCTTGAACTCTGCTACATCAAAGGGGCTCTCACGCTCCTCCCTCTCTTTTCCTTTCTTTCGCCAGAACCCTCAATTCTGAAAGGCCAGTGCAATGTGTGTGATTGGGTGAACTCCAATCACCCGCTGAGTGACATTGGAAAACCCGCTTAACTTCTCTGAGCCGAAATGTTTTTGTCAAAGGAGCCTTAGATCTACTCTCCTCCTGCGTGTTTCGTAGGGTTGTTTCGTGGATTAGATGAGGTGTTGTTTAAAATGAAATCACATTACCGGGTGGAAATAGCTCTTCGCGCACCAGGTATTATTATTAGGGTTTTGCTTTCGTACGGATTTCCTGTCAGTGGAACTCCATCTGTGACACGCTGTCTTGCCGACGTCAGGCCGTTTCTTCTCCCGCTGGGGCTCTGTTGTGCCTGGGGTTTAATGGATGTCACTCTGCTTATCACAGTCAACACTCGCGCGCGGCTGGAGGCGCGGGACGGAGTGGGGTGGGGTGGGGGGTGGGAGTGACTGGAGGCGCCTTGCTTTGAGGGATTGGAAGAGGATTTCATGCTGGGCTCATCACAGTAGCCTGCACGCAGGAGTCAGGCACAGGGCCGCTCTAGGTGCTCCTTACTGAAAATTAACCCCTAAGGCAGGCAGACCCAGAGGAGTTTGAGGAGGCCTAGAAAGATGGAAAATACGGCCGCCCCGCGGTCTGAGATTCAGACCCAGAGGAAAGGTGCCTGATTCCACCCGCCTTCGCCTGCTCCACGCCGACACGTCCAAGGGAAGGGTTAATGAGGGGCAGGTTGAGAAGAGGGGGCTGGTTTTTAAGGACAGGAGGCACGCCATTGTCTTCCCAACTCCCCAGTCTGACTGAAGAGCAGCCATGCGAGCCCGATCATCTAGTCAAATACTGTTTTTCACCCAATTAATTCCTGAACTCTTCCGCGACCCCATTTCATGCCAGTTTATTTTAAGCTGCCACTCGGCTGGAGACCCGCCAAGAAATTATGAGACGTTTCAGTCCCAGATGCCTCTGTGTTCCCTTTCTGTGCTGCTGTGGTCGCCCTTCGAGTCTGCGGGCGAGTCAGGGGACCCGGCCTGGGTGCGTGCTGGGCATCTCAGGCGTGGAGGGCTGGCCCTTTGCGCGTGGGTCAGCCTCCGCCCCCCCCCCAGAGCGGGCCCGGCGGGGTGCTGGGAGCCCCGTCTTTTAGAACCCCCGCTCTGTCTCTGAAGTCAGGAGCGGGAAGGACGGTGATGAGGGCCTGGCTGGGCCTGTGGGCCCACAAATCTGGCTCCTTACTCCTCTCAGAAAAGTTTCTAATGGGGAGAAATGAAGACCACTTCCCTTGTGCCTGCGGAAACCTTTACCCTCTTCCCAGTTTCTCGCCCTCTGGGTCCGTGCCTTCCTAATCACACCTTTTCTTGCTGTCTCTCTTCCTAGCATATGACACTTGGTGCGGCGTGGCCCATGGATGTACCAGAAAACTGGGGCTGAAGATCTGCGGTAAGTGAAAGGACCCGCTGGGGACAGAGGGCGGGGCGCGCGGGCCTTGTGGGTTTGGGAGAGCGGGCCGCACACGGAGGGAGATCCTGGTTCTTGGGTTTGGTTTTCCAAATGTTATCACAGCAAGGACGTTCCCTTCGAGGCCTTGTCTCTCCTCCGCGCTCCCCTGACCAGACAGGGTGGGGGTACAGGAAGCGGCTTTTTCCATTAGAGTCTTTGCTCCCCATGACCTCCCAGAAAGAACGCCCGGCGCCCAGTGAGCGCGCGGAAGCGGGGACACAGCGCCCCCACGCGGCAGCCCCGCTCGCCTAACGCACCGCTGGGGCCGCAAGTACCCGTGCGCTCAGCCCGCGGGGCTCAAAGGTCGCGTAGAAAATGCCAACTGACCTAGCTTTCTTGAAGTGCAGGGCAAAGGCGCAGTATCTATCTAAGGCGGTGGCTAACATGCCCCCTTCCGCTTCATGATCGCCCACCCTCACCCTCGACCGTTGCCCCAAGCCTGGGTGTCTTGAAAGTGGCTTCCCCAGCTCGAGATGTCATAATGGATTCAGATGTCGTTCCTCGGGGCCTTGAAGGCTAAGGGAAAGGACTTCTTGCAGTCCTTGGTGGCCTGCCTTGGGGAAGTGCGTGTAGCACAGGGCAGAGGATTTGCCAGGCGTTATCTCTGAAAGCAAGGAACGAAAAGGACAAGGGACAGTTGGCCACAGGGGATGGAAGGACAGGGTTTATCTGGCACGATTTGCCAGCGGGGAAGGAAAATAGATCCGAGAGCGGGAGAGGAAAAAACTGCTCTCGGGAGACGCGAGGGTCTGAAATGAAAACGCCCAAGGGATGTAATTTTTTTTTTTAAGGGAAAAAGGGAGATTTGTTCGAAGGGACACAGTTGAGTGGCTCCGGCTGAACAATGAGGACTTGCTTTCCTTGCTACATTTCACCGTCTAAAATTCTCTAGCCTTATCGGGCCAGAAAATACGGATGTCCTCGGGCAGGAGGAGGAGAGGCGGGGGAAGATTAACGAGGGGCTTATTAAAGAGCCATCCGTCAGCTGCTGCGCGCGGAGATAGCGGTCGAGCAGGCGCGGGGCTCCGGGAGCAGGTCGCCTAGCGGGTGCTCTCGGGCCGGATGCTCCTAGCCTCCCCCGGCCCGGGGCCAAGGGCAGTGACACGCGCCCCGTCCTGCCTGCATTTCTGGAGCTGTCCCCCGATTCTGGCACTTGGCATTTATGGCGAGAAAGGGTTGCTCAACTCCTAGACTTAGCTAGCCATTTTCCAAGAAAAGCCCGCGGAGCGGCCTGGGGTGGGAGGGTCTGGCCCACTCCCCAGGCTGGTGGGCGAAGCCAGAATGGCGTCTCTGCACTGGGGCAGCCGGCAGCCCGGAGCTTTGTTCTATTAATAACCCCTTCCCACTCCCACCCAGCCGCCATTCCCGGCTTAATGGCCCATTTCCCGAGCCAGGTCCCTTTGGCGGCCGCGGCGCTCGCCTTCTGCAGCCATCATTGTCTCGAGCCGGGCAAGCAGAACTGAGCGAGTTTGGGCATCCTCCGAGGCCGAGGACTACTGAGTAGGGACAGGCTCTGAGTGACTGCTGCCTGCCCTACTGTCATTTGCCTTCGCAGGAGGGGGACGTGCAGGGACAACCCTCATCCACCCCATCCTGCCTCCTGCTATTGCCCTCTGCTGCTCCTGCTACAGGACCCCTGGGTCCCCAGAAAGAATAGTCTAAGTGCCCCTTCTGGGGACATACCTGAGGTCCTGAAAGGGTAAAGACTTAGGGACATGTTGCCTGCCCCAGCTCAGGGAGTGCAGGGGCAAGACAGAGTTAAGGTTTGCTGGGTCTTGGGGGGGGGGCCCTAAATTGTCATCAACTTTCTGTCCTCCTTTGCCAGCCAGTGCCAGAAAGAGAGCCCATGGGCATTTGGGGGGGTTACCATCCTTAGAGTATGAAGTTACAACCTGAGTGACAGAAAAGGAGAAGAGGACAGAGTGGCCTGATCAGGGAAAATTACCTTCTACTAAAATCCTGTGCCTTTGGGGCCACAAATTAGAAAGTCTCCCATTAGGTTTGATTGTAAAAGAAAACAAAACACCATGAGGATTCATTTTCCATACTTTGCGCCAACTCTGGCTTTCCATTTTAATCCAGTGAAGCAGAGTACACTCTTTAGTTTGGCCTTGAATCCACAGCGCCCTCCCCAGCACACTCTCTTCATCCCAGACCATCACATACCAGAAGGCTGCTTTCTTGACACCATCTAGGTTGGTTTGACCTTTCACCTTAAGACAGCAGAAAGACTAATGGTCCTCTTTACACCTTCAAATCCATTGCTGTGGGTGACCCCTGCTCATAGCATCTTCAGCACTTTGCCAAGATTCAACCCTCACCCACTGTCCTACCCTCCCTCCCCTTGGACGGAGGAATGAAACTGCAAGGAGGTCCTTAGTGCCACTGATGGTGTCCTTAGTTTGGAGGGAGCACCCCTGGGAAAGTAACCAGACAGAAGAAATCCAGGATTTTGCCAAGAGCTGGAGAGTGGCTGCAGGCATGGTGGCGTGACCTACATAGAATGGGTCCCAAGGAGCCCTGGGCTCTGCTAACTCCCCAGTGTTTCCATCAGCATCTATGCAGAGGTCCCAAACGTGCTACCAGTTACAGCCCCAGAGCCATTTTATTCAGTCCACATCATGTGTGTGTGTGTGTGTGTGTGTGTGTGTGTTGTGCCAACTTTTAAAAATAGAGAATACCTTAGTATTCTGTATACAGTATTTTATACTTCTGGTTTCTTCTGAAAAAAAAAAGAGTAGATTTGTCAGGGTGCTGTTAGCTAGAGCCTGAGCTCTCTGGTTCCACACAGCTCACTGGTCTCCCCCCTTGTCTTTGAGTTGGGGAGCAGGAGTAAAGAATGGGTAGAAGGACACCCCCACCCCAGCCACCACAAGGTGGAGTCCTGGCTGGCCAGCTATGACCAAACACAACTGCAGTTTTGCTTTCCTCATCTTCCCTCTTTATCCTCAGAATGTCGAGCTCTGTGACCAGTTACCCACAGGATGGTACTAGGTCCTCGCAACTGGGGTACAGAGCAGGGAAGAGTACAGTTTCAGGGACCCTTGCTCCCAGAACCCCTTTCTAGCAAGGGCCATTGTCAAAGCACCCACCTTAACATTATCCTCCACCTCACTGTCATCATCCTTGAAGCTTTGGAAAAAGAGGAAATTCTTTCCAAGGCTTCCCTGAACAAAGAGAGGTCTGGACCATTTGTTTTCTTTAAAGATCCCAATATTTAAAAAAAACAGCAGCTTCCTAAACAAAGTGAAATAAATGACAATCTACCTTAAAAGCTTACATTAGCATATTAATGGTTTTTAACTCAAATTATTATGTCAGTTCATAAGATGTTCATAAGATGATCACAGAATCTAGAGAAAATTGTGATTCTTAGTGCATCAGAGGAAGTGCGGTCCAGGAATACCATGCAGGTGTATAGTTTTGTCATTGTCAACTCTTGACCCCATCAGGACATCTCTGGGTGAGCCTGTGTATAAACTTTCACAGACAATATCCAAAGCCTAAACTCAGTCCTTCCTCCCTGTAGCTGGTTTCTAAAGGTGTTCAAGGTGAGAGACTTCAGACTTTTCCAGGAGTGGGTCAGAACTCAGCACACAGGCCGGAGACAGTTGGGCAGCATCTCACACCCCAATGGACCACATAGATTTGGTCTCTCCAGCCTGGCAAATTCCATAACCACTATTCTGGGACAAGAGGAACAGCATCGGGGTTTGGGAATCAGATGATCCTACATCCCTCTGGCAAAGGAGCACTAGCACCTGATTCTAGACACGGGGGATTTGGAGAAGAAAGTAGAAAAGAGGGAAAGGATACAACTCCCATCTTTATACCCATTTATAGTGTACCTCCCTCCTTCTGGTATCCTTTGGGGCTTTAGTGATAAGTTTAAAAGGTGCTGGGAATAGTGAAGTGCCTGGTGTTTCTGCCTTGCTTTTCTTCCCTCCAAAAACAGCCCCTGGCTACTGTGTATGGGAGGATTCTAATCACCACAGCCTTTTCCCTGCATTCCTCTGCCATCCATCACCATTGAATTGCCGTCCAGGGAAGCAGAGCTGAATTCCCAGATTAACTTGCTTTTCTTTGTACCTCCTGGGACTTCCCTCTAAGCCTGTCTTGTGACAGCTGTGATTCCCCTAGGATCTTAATGTCTATAAAGACAGGTTTGGGGTCACCAAGAAGCTTTGCATTTTCTTCCTCTTTTCAGTGTGCTTCCTTTAGGGCTAGACTGAGGCTGCCTTGGAGCAGGAGACACTAAGGAAAAAGCAGGGTGGCAGGCCAGAAGCCCAGAGGGGATGGAGATGCTCCTCCAAGTTGACATATTCTCCAGCCCTTTGACTCAACCCTGCTTCCCTGTTTCTGTGGATATTGTTTGCACTTCTCACCTCCAGTGGAGAGATTTCTCCTCCCTGTGGGGGGACGAGATGAGGTGAGGTGCTGTGGATCTCATCCTGAGCTGAGGATTTGTCAATGGAGTGTTCTTGGCTGACTTCTATCTTCGTTACAACAGTGGTCACCATTTATCAGACTGTGAGCTCCTAAGGGAAGGGGATCTCACTTATTTTCATCTGTCCCCATCCTAAATGCATAACAAACTGCTTTTCTACAACAGGTGCTCAATAAGGACTTACAGAATGAAATGCCAAGAACCATAAGATTTAAGTCTTTTTGTCTTTTTATCCAATAGCTTTGTTGTGGCTGAGGGGAGCAAAGAGGTGATACAGGAAAAGTTGTATTGTGGGTTTGGGTCAGAAAAATCATTATCATGTTCAACCTGTGAGGGTCACATAGTGTCAGAGGACAGCATCTTTCCTAATCCCCAGGCCCTCACCATCCTCCCTCTGCCATCCTCACTCTCCTCTCTTCCCCCTCCTCCTTCTGCTGTCCTCACCCTCCTCCCTTCATCCTCCTCCTTTCACTGTCTTCCCTCTGCTGTCCTCATCCTTCTCCCTTCACCCTCCTCCCCCTGCTGTTCTCACCCTCCTCCCTCTGCCATCCTCACCCCTCCTCCTCCTTCTGCTGTCCTTTCCTCTCCTCCTTAGGTTGCACAGCCCATAAACCTACTGTTGGCAGCATCCTCTATGATTGGCTCCCATCCTTCCAAACCTGATCCTGGGGCTGATTACTGGAGTGGAAGCTGTCCAGTTGACTTAATTCTGAGTTCACCGTCACGTTCAGCGAGGAGAATGGGCCTCACTTACTATTTTTCTCTTTTGCATGACTGGGTCTGTGTCACTGATGACACTTGTCACTGCCCTCCCTGCCTAAACATGAGCAGGGTCAGAGTCGTGACATACAAAATACAGAGAGTCACTCTGCTTCCCCTCTCAGCAGAAGCAAGAGCCTTGCTCGGAGTTGACCTGGTCCAGCAGCCTTGTTGGCTGGCTAATTCCCAGCCTCTCTGACCCAGCTTCTTGTGCCCTAGGCTTTTTGCAAAGGACCAACAGCCTGGAAGAGAAGAGCCGCCTCGCGAGCGCCTTCAAGGAGAGGCAGTCCTCCAAGAACCTGCTTTCCTGTGAAAACAGTGACCGGGAGGCCCGGTTCCGACGCACAGAGACAGACTTCTCCAACCTGTTTGCCCGAGGTGGTCCCTCCCCAGCTCCCAGCCCTGGTGCTAGCCAGTTGATTCCTTATTTGAGTGTCCTGGTTTTTTCCAAAATTTTATTTTCTTTTACTAAGAAATGTCACTACTCTCAGTGAATGCTCATGAAACTGCGTTTCTGACATTGGGATATGACAGACTCCCTACCGCCCTGATATCTACTGTTTCAGAAGGTAGATGAAGGTAGTCCATAAATCTGTCAATTCTAAAGACACTTGCCAGGATAAACATGGATTAACAGAATCTCAGAATCTAAAGGAATCTTAAATGTAAGAAAATCCAATGATTCCCAACAACATCTACCCTCCAAGATTGCCTTCACTCCCTCCTAAAAAGAAGGAATCTTTATGGCTGTGCCCATCCTCATAACAAGGACTATGGATGTCGTTTTCCTCTTGAGATATTTCTCTCACTTCTGCTGCCCCCACAATGCTAGTCTCAGTAGGCACTTTACCAGCCTCTCCTGAGCAGCTCAAAGTTAGACCTAACAGTGCTTCCTCCTTACTCCACAGGGGCCCACAAAAGGCAGAGCAGACCATTGAACACCACTTCACTAAAACCTCACAGATGGTCCAGGGAATAGATATGGAGCACCATGCATAGCCAGACAACCCATGCTTGAGCTATGACTGACAGTCTCAGCTGGGGTCCTCCACAGCTCTCCTTCCTGGCTAACCCCAGTGTCATGTGACTCTCCTTGCAGAGCCTATAGCCCAAAGTCACCTCCATACATCTCAAAGTCCAGATCCCAAAGGATGAGGTCAAGAGAGAGCTGGGGGTCCCCTTTTACCTTCTCAACCCCCCTCCTCCAGTTTGAGTTTACTGTCTGAGGATGCCATGAAGGACACCTCTCTTCGGGAGGGACTTCAGCCTCTATCCACAGAAGCCTTACCCTCTGCCATCAACAAATCAAGCAGATCATTAACACTAAGCTACCTGTATAGGAACACCTGGTACCTGGAAGCCCAACAGAAGAACCTTCCATTGCATTCCTTACAGGTGCCCATTCAGCAAATGGACAAATGTAGTGGCCCGACTATCAGAAAGTCTGTGACCCCCTCCCTAGAAAGTGTGTGCAAATGTCTGTGTATGTGCACAAATGCACTCTTCTGAAAGTCCAATTCTCAGTACAGATAGATATCTTGGAATGCAATTAAGCCTGTCAGAATATCTTGGCTGACATTAGGAATCCCTGGACCCAGAAAACCCAGGTGTGAAGCAAATAATAACCACTCTTTGGCTTTCTCCCTTCAGATCTGCTTCCAGCAAAGAATGGGGAGGAGCAAACTGTGCAGTTCCTACTGGAAGTAGTGGACATACTCCTCAACTATGTCCGTAAGACATTCGATCGCAGCACCAAGGTGCTGGACTTTCACCACCCACACCAGTTGCTGGAAGGCATGGAGGGCTTTAACTTGGAGCTGTCTGACCACCCTGAGTCCCTGGAGCAGATCCTGGTTGACTGCAGAGACACATTGAAATATGGAGTTCGAACAGGTAAGGGCAACAGTCAGGTGGACAGCCCTGGGGAGGGAAGGTACCAGAGTGCTCCCTGACCCCAAGAACAATTCAGAACCTAAAGGGGAAGAATGGCTTATTCCCGACGTGCTTTCCCACCCCCATGTTCTTGCCTATTTCATCCTTATAATTCCTACCTACGCTTGCCTTCACTGACACTGGGAAGAATTAGGTCCGTTTTCTTCCCTTTCTTCCCTTTCTGAATTAATCTCCTAGGACTGTCATTACAAATTACCAGAAACTGAGTGACTTTAAGCAATAGAGTTCTGGAAGCTAGAAGTTCAAAATCAAAGTGTTGGCAGGGTCATGCTGTCTTTGCAGGCTCTCGGAGACGATCCATCCTTGCCTCTTCCAGCCTCTGGAAGTTATGGGAATTTTCCTTGGCTTTCTTTGGCTTGTCACTGCATCACTTCCAGCTCTTGTCTTCATCTTCACGTGGCCTTCTGCCTGTGTATATTTATCCAGATAGTCTCTTCTCAAAACTATACCAGTCTTTGGGTTATGGCCCACTCTAATCCAGCATGACCTCACCATAATCCGCAAAGACCCTATTTCCAGCTAAGATCACACTCACAGGAGCAAGGGATTACATAGGACTTGAACTTACCTTTTTGAGGAATATAATTCAACACAAAACCTGTTCTCATTGGCTAGGCCAAAAGGTCTGGTATCTTTTCTTAGTCTCTTTCTCTCTGTTCCTCAGTGACCTAACACTACATTTTTCCCCACCAGAAGTCAAAAGTCATTCACTTTAAAGTGTATATATAGCAAAACACCCAACATGTTCTCTCTCTCTCTCTCTCTCTCTCTCTCTCTCTCTCTCTCTATCTCTCTCTGTCTCTGTCTCTCCCCCCACACTAGACACACACACACACACAACATACACACTCCCTTCACATTCTGTTCCAGTCTCTGGAGTTTAGACACTCTGAATCACCAAATCCTATTTCCAACTAGGACACTTCAAGGTTGTTCTCTTGCCTCCTTTTCATGTTAACAGGAGTCATCTCTAATCAACAATCCTGGCACAAGTGGTTACTTTCCAACTGCCTCAAGTTCAAGGACTTTTTGGACCTGTGTCTAAGCTGTTTCTTAGCACAGAAGTCAAGCAGTAGATTCTTCTTCCTATAACCCTTTCTTCCATGCCCTGGCTTTGCTAAGATCTGAGACACACAGATATTCAGGAACTGGCAGTCCTTGGCACAGTTGCCATCAAGAAGGGAAGCCACAAGACCATGACCAGCAGGCAGGCCCTTGTTCTTTTACTTTTTCCTCTCTCCTTGTCCTTTATTTTACCTCTCATTCTTCTGAGTCATTAGAAGATAGATTTAAGACCAGGACTGGGGAGGCAAGTTGGGATAAAGCTGAGTAAGGCTATTAGATGTCAAAAAAAAAGTTATAATGAATTAATGAGACTGGCCAAAGAAGTTTTTTAAAATAAGGAATCCCAGAGAGCCTTTTGGTCTGCCAATACCAATGGAATAAATGTAACTTCACGAAATAACTGCTGTATGGACCAGACTCAATTATATGTGCAAGGTCTCTGTTGTTTGATCATGAAAGAAAAGCACTCATCAATTTAGGTAGATCTCACATTGGTCTAATGGCTAACCTATTCCTGAAGTCATGTTATTTGACTGAATTTTTTTAAAAGTCCAAATTCCCCACATATGTTTCAGCTTGGTTTTTTTGGTCCAATGTTTTGCATTTTGTCACTTTGTTCTACACACATGATTTCTCAGAGAGTTGAGGACCACATATTTTTATCATTGAATCCCAGAGTGGTGTTGTCCCTTAAAGAAAAACAAGTGACTTTGTCATAATAGTATCTCATATCAAATCAAAACTGAAGAATATCATGGTCAGGAAAGCATGGCATTGGTAAGTATGAATCCACTTAGAATCTTAGTCTGTGACCAGGCACTGTGAAACTTCCTGCCACACCTCAGGGTGTTAGCCCTGGTTAAAGTATAAACTATTGCTGCCACATCAAAATGCAGCTCCTGGATGCTGATCTATGATTTGAATGTAAACACAGGAGCAGTGGGGTAAACCCTGCAGGTTGCTACTCACAGTGGAATGTTTTTTAAAGGAGGTATTAGTGAATGAGTATTCAGCCAAAATAGTGAACTGGATTTTAATAGTGAAGATATACTGATGAGGACACAGTGTGTAAAGGGATGATGATGGCATTTGGAGGCTTTTCTACAACCTAACAAAAGATTCTCCACAAAAGGAACCAGCGTGTGCAGACTGCCACAGACAAACAGAGATCTTTGTCAGCCTCCAGTCACAGCAGCTATGTGGATGACTTAGTAGACACACTGGGCTTCCTTTCTTGATCATTTTCTAACTTATTATTAAGGAAAAATTTTAAACTTACGCAAAATTAGAATCCTATAATGAACCCCATGTACCCAACAACCAGCTCTAACTATTATCAACTCCTGCCAACTTTATTTCACCTGTACGTCCACACACTTCCTCTCCTCTCTGTTACGTGGAAGGAAATTCCAACCTAATGTTACTGTACCCATCCATCTTGAGTTCTTTATCTTCAAGAACTTAAAAAAATAACCATGACATCATTGTTCTATCTGAAAAAAACCAAAATTTACATCCCTTAATATGATGAAATATTCAGTGTTCAATTTCACAATTGTCTCATGAATGTCATAAATGTTTTATTTTATTTGAATCAGGATGCAAATAAGTCCTCATATTGCAGTTGGTTGATATGTCTTCTACTTAATAGATGTCCTTTTCCATCTCTTTTTTTCTTGCAACTTATTTGTTGAAAAACTTTACTTAAAAAATAATTTTATTTCTCCCCTGACCCCCTACTTGACATTAGGCCATGCACTGCCCAATGTCCTGTCTATCATCTGTTCTGTTCATTGAATACATAGAGTTGAAGTTGGAAACTAGTGGTAGGTATGGTGGCACACAGCATTTGGGAGACTGAGGCAGGAGGATCACAAGTTTGAGATCAGTCTGGGCTATATTGTGAATTCTAGGCCAGCCTGAGCTACATAACAGGACCCTGTCTCAAAGAAGAAAAGAAAGAAAAAGAAAATGGTACTGGAATCTAAACTAGGTTGTCATGAGAAATTCTGATGGAAGATTTTAGGGGTAGAAGTTGTAGCCATATGCCAAAAAGTTTGTGCCTTACATTTTAATGGACAAAGAGATAGTGTTTCACCTTGTACCAATGTCTGTCATTGTCCGTCTTTTGTCTCTGCATAATGTGGTTTTGATTCATTATCAAATTAAGTAGGATTGCATTAATGATTCAAATCCTATCTCAAGATGAAAGATTTGTTTTCTAAAGTTTTCAAATGGGTACTGCATGTATATTTTAATGGATATCAATAAAATTATTTATGTTATAGGAGAGCACGTAGATTCTGTTGGTACTGAGCAAAGTAGAGTAAAATGGAATAATTTAAGCTACTTAGCCTTGTCTACATGAATATCCGGAATCTGGGGCATATGTACATTATGTTTACTGCTTATGATTCTTTCAGTTTTTTTCTAGAAATCAGTATTATTTTTGGAGGGGTCAATATGAAGGAATTGGTGTCTTCTGATATAAGAAACCACAGTCCAGATATTCTGAATGAAAACCCCTCACATCTAGAGAACAATAGATTCCCAGGGAGGGGAGCTAGAGAAGAAACATTCAAACAGTAGCTCTCTGACAGTTATTTCAGAGACAAAGGCAATTTCCACTGGAAACATAGTAGTCAGCAAATCTTTCTAACACCAGTTCTCTGTCACACATCCCCAGATAATCTATTGTGTTGACTTCTTTGTGACAGCAGAGCCAAGCCAGCTGATGTGAAGTTGAGTTTTTTGGTGAATGCCAACTTGGTAAGAACTTGGCAACAGTTCTGACTTTGCTGAGGACAAAGCCAGTTAAAGTATCCCTTGGGTTACAGAAGGCTTTCAACTTGCACAACAGTAACAATTCTTGCTCCACCAGCTCAGTGAATGAATAAGGACTGGCACTGCCCATTTCACTGAGGAGGTGCTAGGTCAGCTTGGCCATTTATCAGCTCAGCTCAGCTACTGTAATAGGCACCTGACTCTAGACGGGCAAAACACACTGATGCTTGATGTCACATCTGTCACAGAGACCCAGAGAGTGATGGGATGGGGATGGCCTCAGCATCATTGTCAGAGCTGATACTTCCCTAAGCTTGTTTTGGTTCATAGAGCTAGGAAACTTCCCTGAGGCCTGCAGTCTCTTCTCTATCAGCAAATCTTGATCCAGGGATTAAAATCCTTGGGACATTGAATTAAAAGTTGAAACAGATATGAAAAATTAGTAACACCACATTCTTTTTTTGTTTAAAAAATTATTGTGACAGAGGAGTTTATCTGGAAGTCAATGAATAAAAAAGGAAACATGACTAGTTTCATGGTGCTCAATTTTTCATATTTAAGGGCAAAATGCTTTAGAAACATAGACATTTGGGGGTATCATTAATGCTAATGGTTACATCGAGTAGGTCAAGTTGTCCTTCCTTCTCCAGTATTGTTGGGCAGCCCTGTCAGACCACAGGATAGAGACCTCATCAGTGTGGTTCAGTAGGGCAGGCTTGTTACTCTAAAGATAACTTGAAAATTCTGGATTTGGCTTGATGCTTACTTGTCACCTCTCTAGGTCATCCTCGATTTTTCAACCAGCTCTCCACAGGATTGGATATCATTGGCTTAGCCGGCGAATGGCTGACATCAACTGCCAATACCAATATGTAAGTCTCATATATTCTTTCCACATAAGTACCCGTAATTCATGTATAGCTATGACTTGTTGCATTAAAAATCTAGTTCTAATAGTTTTATTTCTTAAATTTTGTTTCTCCCTTAAAATACTAGGTTTGTCAAGTTTTGGTTTAATAGTAGATGCTTGCTAAAATATTCTTGAATAATGTAACCTAATAAAATCATGGTCATGAGAAATATTAAGTCTAACTTTCAAAGTTCAGTATGAAATTTCATGTTAATAGACTTTATTTCTCAGAGTGGTATATCTAAAAGAGGTCATGTTTTGGGTATGATCTTGGTTTCCTTTTCCCATCCAAGAACATTGGCCCTTACCACTTAGGCCATATTTTCTCTATAATTAAAGCTGCCATAAAGCCACAAATCAATTTCATCAACTTATTGCTTGACTAAAAATTCAGCTGGTATTGATACATTATGTATTCATGACTACTAACCATTTTTCTGAATTTGGTATTTTTCCTGTATTTGTTTATGTAGATGAAACTTTCATTTCTTTCTAAATTCTTATAAATTTATATAAAGCAAACTCTCAGGCCCTAGGGCTACAAGTACTACATGAGTTGCTTTCTTGCAATCACTCCAGAATTTCCTTTGTATACAGGTGCCTTTCCTGGAGATAAAACAGATTATAAGATATGGAAAGCACCAGAGCCTAAGAGCTACTGTCTTTTAACACTAATGACAGTGTTTTACCACTACCTATACACCCAGACAAAAGTACTGCATTCAGTTAAAGCATGCAGGAGGGAAATAATGAAACAAATTTCTTACAGTATCCTAATAATAACAGCATATGAATTATAAGGGTGTCAGTCATTACGGCAATATTCAGAAACAAGGTACCCTCCTACTTACTTAACAGCTGATTCCTTTATTTATTTATGTTTTGTGGAGCTGGGGATCACACCCAAGGCCTAATGCATGGTAAGCATGTGCTCTATCACGTAGCTACATCCTACCCTCTGACTTAGTTTTTAAGTTCACAGTAAAGTAGATTCTGAAAAATGAACTAGTAGAAAGAGTGGTATTGTTTAAAATGAGAAATTCCATTTGACATCAAGACAGAATGCAAGTTATTAAAGTTCAAGCTATTCTATTTTTCTTAAACAAAACTTGACCAGCCAAAAAATCAAAAGGGTGTTTTAAATTATATATTGTTCATGTGTGTTCCAAAGCTGTCTAATGCTGTAACTCAAAATACTAAAACTACATTCTATTAAGAATTCCTCCTATGTTTGCTAATTTTAAACACCACTGACAAATCGTTCAAAGTCAATGTGACAAGTGAAGCCTTTCATGCTAAAAGGCATAAAAAATTCAATTGATTGAAAAACGAAGATGGTTTCATGCTCCCTGCTCACAGTCATGAGTAACTTCATGGAGTGTCCACATTAATCACTGAGACTTCAAAGGGCCGAGAAGAATTCATGTCAAAGATACAATGACTTAGATGATCTTCTCAAACAAAAAAGTCCACTTTGCAATCTTTACTATACTATGATTTGTGAGATAAAAATATATAAGCAAGCATAAACATCCTAGTTACTAACTTTAACAAAAATACCAATGCTTAATTATAGCTTCTAACACTAAGGAACAATTTAAATTAGAAAATAGTTTGTTTCTGTTTTATCTCAACAATTTGAAAAATATGTGAGAAAAGCAGAGTAAAAGGTATTCATCCACTAAGGCTCAGGTATCCATAGTAACATAGGTACTGAATTCGACCAGTATCTTTAACTGTATTCTGTAAACCTCCAGCTGCTGCTCTTAATATAGATGGCCAATATCAAGGTAAATAAAATGAACTCGCCCTTTTGAACTATTTGTGACCAGATAATCTCCTAAGAAGCTTTTCTCCAATCAGAAAGCTCCTGCAAATTCTCCCTTTTTTTGGTCTGTGTTCATAAAATCAAAGTCCCTTGCTCTGCTCTTACCTCAGCTCAGTCACAAAACACTAAAATATGTCCCAGCCATCTGAGGTCAAGGCCAATCCAACTAAATGACACATAGTAATTGCCTCTTTACTGAACAGTAGGTATTTATAAAATATGATCTGATTCCGACTGATCGATCGAGGTTATTTAAAATAGTGAAATAGTTTCTGTCAGTTGTAGAGTCAAGGCATTTTCTGAGAAAGTAATAAGTATTATCTCGAAATTGTTCTAAGCCAGTTTCCCTGAAGATCATGAAATGTGCCAGCATTGAAGGAATGTGGCAGCATTTGCTCTCTTGTGATAATTCCTTCTTCAACTGGGAACAGTGTTCAAAATAAGTTCAAAAAAATAGCAAAAGAATTTTTCTTTAGCAGAGTGTGATTTTAAATTAGTGATACTCTCTTTCTTTTTAACCTGTATTCATTGAGTTTGGGTGGCTCTGGTGACAGAGAATACTTACTATACTTCTCTGTATAGTCCTTGTAAAAACAATGATTCAATATTCTCATTCAAGTGGTGGTGCAAGATGCCTGTCAGCAAAGAAAGAACATTAATTTTCATGTTTTTACACCTGTTTGTGCATGCAGCTTTGAGAGCTAGTCTTCCAAACAAGGACCAGTGAGTATCCAAAGAAAACTTTGCAAACGTGTAGTTCTCCTTGACACGTATAGCTCTTCTCTTCCAAAACAAGTCCCCCAAGAACAATTGTGCGGGTTAACCAGAGTCCAAGTGCAAACAACAGCCTGCTCTCAAACAACTGAGGGCAATGCATAATCTTAGTGGCAAGGTCCATCACAATCCTTTGCCCTGAGATTCTGACTTCAGTCATCTAGTGCTTTACTTCCATAGAAGTTACACAGAAGAAATGGTCTATGGAATTATCAGTCATGTACACTACTGGCAGGCTGTTACAGAGAAGTCTGCAGTAAGCAGTTCTGATTTGTCATAGAAAAGCATTAGTGATGTACAGAACTAATAATTCTGGCTCTGAAATGGACTAATTGTGAGATCTTAACACATATCATGGAGTTTCTCTGAACTGAGGTTCAGATGGGGGGACAATAATATCCATCCTACAAAGTGGTTCTGAAGACTAAAAAAGGCTGGGGTCTTAAGTGCCTAGTGTATACAAGGTACAATGCATGTACCTAGAAGAGGCAGCCACCCCACAGGTCACTGTCAGCATTTGAGACCCCTCCCTTCAGCCTCCAGGCTCTTTAGTTTCTATCTTAAATCATCTCTAGAGGGTCCCACTAACCTCCCCTCAAGTGTATTATCTTTGAAGTTAAAGATGTGTTACCTGCTACATCTATAAGGAGAGGATGTCTAAGAGGAGTGTTGTGATAGTCAGTGTGGAAGAATGTTTCTTTTTCTCATTAAAGAAGTCTTCATTTGAAAGTCATCAGGGAGCCAAGTTCTTTGTGCCTTTCTGATCCATATTGTACCACATGGCTCTCATCTACAAAGTTACCTCATGGTGCATGCTGGCTTGCTGGAGTGCTAGCCATCACTTCTGTGTTCTAGAGCTCAGAAAGGAGGGGGGGAAGAAAGGGGTAAAGAAGGACTGAAGAAGGAAGATAGGGAGAGAGAGAGAGAAAAAAAGGAGGGAGGAAAGGCGAGCAGGCAGGCAAAAGGGGAACATACTCCCTACTGCTAAGAAACTTTCTCAGGAGTCACACACATTTCCCATAGCAACTGTTTAGCCAGTACTTAGTCCTGTGGCCACACCTAAAGAGGCTACAAAATAGTCTTTGATATTGGTGAACTACAACCCTAAATAAACTTTAACGAAACAAGGGGAAACTGATACAGTTACAATGGCAGACTGCCACAAGAGAACTACACCATCTTGATAATCTGCCTTAGCTCTGAGTAAGTCCCAGTGGGAAGGTGAGTTGAACCACTGAGAAAGAGCTGACTCACCTCTCTACTCAGAATTTAGAAAGGCTCGGCATTTTCCTTTAGTGTCACTCCATATATGTCACCATCTTCCTGCTTTAAATTCTTCCTTCCAGTTATGCTATAACCCAAAGCATTTTATAGTTTTAGTTTCTTATTCTATGATTCTGAAATGTAACCTTGTCCTCTGACTTTAGCATCTCACAGGCTTCTTCTGAATCCATATTTGACCTTGGATTTCTTGATTTCATCTGCTTGTACCTGTCATTTAGGGAAGAAGTACCTACCCTGGGTTCTGGGTTGTAAGAGGAAAATTTCCTGTAAGCGTATACACAAATAATGTCATCCTTCACCTGGAGATAGGGACCACAGCTTTTCTAGGATTTCCAAAGAGGGCTGTGACTCCAATTAAGTCAAGAACCACTGCTCTTGGATGAACTTCAGAGCCTCCTATGAGGCTTTGAGTGCTGGCACCCCACCTGATTATAAACATGGATCAGAATGAGAAGTATCCAGAACAGAGAATACCAACCATATTAGCCTGTTTGCCTATCAATAGCCACGGACCAGTCTCCCAGCTTCTAGGAGAGGATGAATATCAAAGCTAAGCTTCTACAAGTCAGGACAAGCTTAGTGTTAGCTGTGGGATAATTGGTCCCTCATACCTGGGCAGGGACCATTAAACAGGATGCAGCTCAGGTCAAGAGTGAGAGACACTGGATTCATCCAGTTTCCTCCTCAAAGTTGGGAAGGGTATGTAGCAACATCTTTTCTGCTACAAACATAGGATGTTGTTACTTCGTATTTGTGGAACAAAACTGAAAGGAGGGTTTAGGAATCAAGTACCTAGCATAGGTAAATAGCCTGAAATAGAGAAAATCAGATGGTCTTGTGACTGAACTCTCTAGACTCTTCCAGCTGTTCCTGATTCTCAACTGGGAATGCCAATTCACGAAAATGTGGGGCCTAAGTTGCTTCAAATCATGAAGCACAGAGTTGGACCAACTCTCTGGTCTTCAATTCCATGACTTCTCCCCTCCCCATGTGGTTCCTGCCTGACCATCCAACACTGACTTCACTCTAACTCAATTTCCATCCGTGATATGGTTCTGATACTATGGTGTATGGTTCCATTGTTCCTTGCCTTACCCCAGAGAGCCTTCTCATTTGATGTTGTAAGATTCTAACATATGAACTCCACCAGTACCTCTTCACCATGAAAGCATTTTTTGCCATTCCAACATTTCCAATAATCAGTGGAACCATGGTAAAACATATGTTCAAGAATGGGTAGATGTACACCATGAGTTTGCCTCTTGGTACGCTCATCAGCACAGGCTAAACCAGGAATCCTTCTCTTCTTCTTCCTTTATCAGGCCATCAGACATGAGGGAGTGTTGGTTGCTACGGTGATGGGGCTCAGAGCAGAACCAAAGCATGATTGTGACTTCCAGAGGTGATGGTAACTGAACATATGGTTTCCAAGGGTCTTCCTCCTAAATTTCCAGGGTCCTCCCAAGGAAAATGGACATACTCTTTTGGGAAACAAAATTCTTCTACCAAAAGACATATCCTGAGGATCCTTCAGGATCTTTTGGTCTTCTCCTATTGCCATGTGATTAAATGTGACTATTTTTCCCCTCCATGATTAAAACTTAGTAGCTTCACCTGTGTCTTATGTCTGCCAATAGTTATCTCATCCTTGCAAATCTCTTTTCTAAATCATTAAGCAAGCAAGAATTCCCATTAGTTCTCAGCATTGGCATTCAGCCCAAACAACCTAACCACTGATAACACCTCCTCATATCCTCTGGCTTAGGCAGGCTAGGCATCTCTCTTCAGCAGGGATGGTCTAAGCCCAGCCCACAGACTCTAATGGTTAAGAACTTCAAGCCAGAACAAGAAAGACAAAGAGCCTCAAAGCGTAGTAAATATCTTTTTGTCTTCTGGCTTAATTATCTGGGGATGAACCTTCCTTGGTTTCTCTTAGGCCGTATGTTTGCTACCCTGATCTTGTTCCAATGACTATTCTACCAGACTGTGCCTCTGCTTTGAATTGCCTTGAAACAGGATGCTTTGCTTTTATATCGGTTTATTAGGAGACACATGTAAGACACCAGGAGATCTGATGCCCACAGCTATGTATGCCAATTGACCATCTTCCTGTTATTTAGAAGTCACAATTAAAAAATCATCACTTATAATTATTCTTGACAGATATTGACTTCAGAGAATTATAGATACATAGCTGTCCTTGGAATTTATCAGTAGAAAAACCATGAAGATAATTATATTGAGATCTTTAAAACATGGGTCAATATTTCCAATTATCTTCATAGTTAGCTTTCAGATGTTTACATTGCTTTTAAAAAGATCAACTTTGGCTCTAGCTTTTATAGATTCTGCAAGTGTGAAACTGGCAGTCAGTTTTTTTTTATTTATTTTTTATTTTTTGGTGGGACTAGAATTTGAACTCAGGGCTCCATTCTTGCAAAGCGGGCACTCTATTGTTTGAGCCACACCTCCATTCCATTTTGCTCTGCCTATTTTGGAGAGGAAAGTCTCTCAAATTATTTGCCCAGGCTGGCCTTGAACTGTGATCCTCCCCATCTCCACTCCCAATTAGCTAAGATTACAGAAGTGAGGCACTGGCACCCAGAAAGGTTTTTTGTTTGTTTGTTTGCTTGCTTGCTTGCTTGCTTTGTTTTGTTTTTTGATGTTTCAAACCAATTTTAAATAGAACTTATAATACATTTTTTTCAATTAACATTTACATTGTCCTACAATTTTAACATAAAAGAAACCCAGAAAAGTCTTTATCTTCCCTCAATGTCTCTGGGTAAACCACACCTGTGACATGAGACTCTCTTTGCTGGTGAAGTATCACAGACCAGACACTTCCACCACCTCTCTGGGTAACCCAAGCTGGTTTCTAACATTTTATGAATGTGGATTTAATGCATTTCCAGGAAATGAGTCATTTCAGTGGTTTAGAACATTTTTTATATTTTTAGAACCCAAGCACATGTACCAAGCCAATCATCTGTACTCCCCAAATAAGTGGTTTTGCTTCCTTATTTTCATCCTTCTCAACCTGTCCAGGTTTACATATGAAATTGCACCAGTGTTTGTACTCATGGAGCAAATAACACTTAAGAAAATGAGAGAAATAATTGGATGGTCAAGCAAAGATGGCGATGGGATATTTTCTCCTGGTAGGTTTCCTTTCCTTTCTCTGGTTATCCTCAATGTTTGTTGTATGGGCCTTTGGAATTCTTGGGAACATTAATTAAAATGTAAATTTATGGAAGATTTATATTTAAAATATTTTTCCTTTTTTATTATTATCATTATTAACACATGTTAATTGCAAAAATTGGTGGTGTTCATTATGATATTTCCATACATGCATATATCATACCTTGATGATATTAAAATTTTTTCATAACATTCTGTCTTTCTGTCTTTGTCAGGTCAAAGGCTAGCAAGAATGCTATATTCTCTATAAACTAACTTTAAAAAGGCTGTGCCTAAATCTGTACACACGAAGTCCATGTCTAGGTCATGCTAAATGACAGTATTCTGTCAACAGCAGTTTGATGTGCTGGGGGGTCAGTGAGTCAAGATTATCAATTAATTGACATCAGCCCAAATAATATAACTATTATCCCTAGTAATCACTAGTTCAGAGCAGAATCTGTAGTTCAGAGTAGATGCAAAGAATCTTTGACACAAGGACAGGTATTCCTGGAGGTAGGGAGAAGATACAGGTGGTGTTAGAAACAGTGCAATTATGTATGGGAAGAAATAAGAAATACAACCCTCTAGGTAATTCAAGCAGATCCTGAATTTGCCTATTTCATTCTCAAGTAATTGATGTAAAAGTAACTAGTTCATATTGGCCAGACATACCTAGATAGTTACCTCTGTTCTCCCTGTGTCTCAACATAGGTCAACATGAATTTGTTTTTATTTAAATAAACGTAGAACTCTCCTGACTCAATAACTCAGTTGGACTCTTCTTGAAGAGAGTACCCAGGCTAGTAACCAAGCAATGCCATGGTTTCCTTCTGTAAGCTCCATTACTCTCTCATTCTCTGTCCTTCTGAACTCGGAACAGACCCATCTTTGTTCGGTAAATAGATTGAGCAGAAAGTGGAAGCTAGAAGATTATAACTCACCCATCTCTTTGTACTCACCACAGCCACCTCCTCTTATATTCTGTGTAGCCCTCAGGTGGAAGGGTACTAGAATATGTGAATTGCCTCCTGCCAGATTGTCTAGGTGGCTTTGGGAATGAGTGTGACTATTTTTATTCCCAGGGCAAAGGATCCAGAGGGAAGCCCTGATAAGAGGGAAGCCAGCAAAACTTATCAGGATATTGTCCTTCCCCTTTCTGACATCCTTTCTCTCTGGAAATATCAGCTGAGCCTTTGTGCTAGTAACAATAGCCCAACATCTCTCATTCTGTCTGCTCGCGCGTAGGGGGAGCCATATCCAACATGTACAGCATCATGGCTGCTCGCTACAAGTACTTCCCGGAAGTTAAAACAAAGGGCATGGCCTCCGTGCCCAAACTGGTCCTCTTCACCTCAGAACACGTGAGTAAGGGGCAACTGCTCATGGATTGTGGTGTTTTCCAAAGGACTACCTAACTTTTAACCTCAAGCCCCTGTTTGTCGCAGAGTCACTACTCCATAAAGAAAGCTGGGGCTGCACTTGGCTTTGGAACTGACAACGTGATTTTGATAAAGTGCAATGAAAGGTAGGCAGGGGAGAGTGAAGATTAGGTTCTTGATGTATTAAATGTGTTCATCTGTTAAATTTGTTTTATTGTGCTTTAAGAACTGGCTCAGTACAGTATGCCAAGTTCCTAATGATCTGTTGAAAATATCTGATTAAATCACTTTTTTGCGGCTGCTAAAGTGTTTTTCATGTGCAATCTCACTGATTCTTCATTTTAATTTCTCTCCTTTTACAATAATTACAGGGGGAAGATAATTCCAGCTGATTTGGAGGCAAAAATTCTTGAAGCCAAGCAAAAGGTAATACAACATAGTGCATTCAAACTCCAGTGAATACAAATTTTTAAAAATACCTTGTTTCCAGTCTAGACAATAAAAATCTTTGATAATGAGATAACTTTAGTGTTTCTAAATTTTTATTCTAAGCTATTCCCTTGTTTCCAACTTACTAGATGATTAGGCCTTAAAGTTGTGTCTATAAAATATCAGTTTTTCTTTGTGAAAAATGAAAAAGTTCATCCATAAATCACCTTTAGGCCAAGGTGATTAGTTTGATGTTCTTCAATAAATTAACTACCTGGGCATCAGGAAGATGCAGCCCAACTGAACTTTTTACTTGTTTCTTGTTAGATATAATCTCATTTTAATGAGTACCATTTGAGGCCTTTGCTAAATAGGGCTTGCATGACCTAGCAGATGGTACTTGGCAAATCCAGCTTCAAAAAACTTTATTAAACAAAACAATCCTAGAACAGATACATCCCTAAGTAGCTGTCAGGCCACCTACCACCACATTTTTGTTTTGGTTCCCTTCGTATACCTCCTTCTCTGATTGAAGAAGAGGTGAATGGGAGTATTGCTAGGACCAAGCAAGGTGGAAAGGCACCACTGAGCTTCAAAAACATCTAAGCCTCACAGGTTTCCCCAACCTATCCTACCACTATTAAGTCACTTCCTCATTTCCTTCTCATTCTATGTTAACATTTTATTAATGTTTCAGCTTTCACAGTGTATAGACATATTTTACATAACCAAACAATAAAGTTTAATTATTTTATCAATACACTTAGAACAACATAGTACCTACAAAGAATAACATCCAAATGATATTCAGAAGCAAAGAATTTGGAGCGGTACCTACCTATCACTCCAAATACTTATTTTTACTCTTTCCATTTTTTTTTTTTTTTGTCAAATGACATCACTACTAAATATACTATATGCTTTGCTTATTTAATTTTACCCACATGATGGCAAAATTCTGCATCTGCTGTGCTATCTGCTGGAGCCCCAGTATCTTCCATAATACCTGGCACATAAAACTCACTCAAAAATTTTTTTATTGCATGAATGAATGAATGAGTGGCTGAACCAACCATTGTATCCAACATCACACCAGCTTTTTGATCACTTGTACAAATAATTGCTGTTGTAATTCTTCTGTTTCATGTGGAAATGAACAAATGAGAAAGGTTAAAGCAATAATCAGCAATCTCTCTCACCTTGTAGGGATTTGTCCCTCTTTATGTCAACGCAACTGCTGGCACAACTGTTTATGGAGCTTTTGATCCAATACAGGAGATTGCAGATATATGTGAGAAATACAACCTTTGGCTGCATGTCGATGTAAGTGCTATAATTCACAGGGACCAGGCCATTCAGCACTGCTTTATGATTTGCCTCAAGCTGCTCCCAACACCCCAGCTGGCCCCCCTTCTGCACACCATGTTAGTTCCAGCTCTTTCCCGGCCCCAAGCCAGCCACTCAGACCTAGTCACCTTCCAGGACTCATCCAGTCCCATACTGGCCAATTGCTTGCTGTCTTCTGTGAGTTCTCCTAGAATATGGATATGGAAGTGGCCTTCCCAGGTCACTTTAAACAAACAGCTGCAAAGTAAAATATAGCTGAGTTTAGAGGGGAAAAATGATACAGAGTATTGAAAGTGGCTGTGAATGTGAATGTTCAGTTACCTGCCAGTGTCTACACATCTGTGACACCTTTCTAAAAAGAATGCATGCCTGCTACATGCAGGAGAAATCAGGAAGTTTCTGAAAGACATTATCAGCCAAGAGATTTAGTCCTGACTTTTCCCACAACACAAAAGGTGCGTTTTCATGTGTGACTGGGTAGTTTTTTTCTTTCTGTCCATTATACTCGACTTCTCACAATTGGACAGTGGGAAATGCCATTGAGCAAATGACTAACAAAAGGTAATGTGTCTCATGACATGCCACGCTATCCAGGAACCATGTATCATGTGCCCAAATAAAGTCTTGCTGGTGCTGGAGCTTGTTGGGACCTCCATACCCAGCAGGGACTGCTGCTTTCCGAGTTTCTCAGGGGCTGATAGAATTCCACCCCAAAAAGAAGCAGACAGTGCACCCCAACCCTGTCATTAGCTTTCAGAGTCTCCCTGAGGGCTCAAAGTATCCCTGGCTTTCCACAGCACATTGGGCCTTTGGTTCTTTCCTCACAAGCACCACAGGCTCAGCCCTGGCTTACCTGTATCACCTAGACAACAAGCAGGAGGAAGTTTTGATAAGAAATGGGGCTGGGTGTAGTGGCATGCCAGTAATCCCAGCTCCATGGGAGGCAGAGATAGGAGGATTGTGGTTCCAGTTCAGCCCAAGCAAAGTTAGCAAGATCCTATCTCACAAAAGAAGCCAGGCATGGTGGCAGGAGGTAGCAGGGTTGTTCAGAGTCTGAGGCTGCCCATGCAAAAGCATAAGACCTTAACTGAAAAACAAACCAAAACAAAAGAACTGGGGCATGACTCCAGTGGTAGAGCACTTGCCTAGCAAGTACAGGGCCCTGAGTTCAAACCCCAGTACCACCACCAAAAAAAAAAAAAAACAAAGATGGCGAATGGTAAATAAGCACAGCTGCCCGCGCTGGTGGAACAGCATGGGCTCCTCCTGCCAGAGACACTTACGTTTCACCTTTGCCATTCTTCTTGCATTTTTACTAGAGGTGTGGCGTGACCGACTTTAGGTTCTTCAGCATCGCTGCTCCCTGTCCCTCTCCTTTCTCTGTCCTCACAGGCTGCCTGGGGCGGTGGGCTGCTCATGTCCAGGAAGCACCGCCATAAACTCAGCGGCATAGAAAGGTATGGGCAAGCTTGCTAGGCCTCCATCCATTCGGAACATCACCGCCCCATGCACCACACTCCTTCCCACTCCTCCTCTCCCAGCTCTAGTCCCCAGCACCGTATTTCAGTCTGACTAAGTGCACTTCGATTCAGTAGCCATCTGTGCAGTTCTTATTGTAAGATGGACTTCCCAATCAAATGAGTCCTCAGTGAGGCCACAGTTTAGAAAGAAAGATATGTAAACAAGTAATTACAGCATCACATGAGAAGTGTAACAACAGATGAAATTGCAGGTGACCAGGTAGGAAGGACTAGAGAGTGTGGGGGACTGGAAGCTAACTCAGAGTTTCCCAAGGGGGAAGACAGGCCCACTGGTTCCTTATGCTCTTCCTCGGTAAGCCGGCTGAGTCCTGTCTTATTTCAGTAGACACTGTGATAAAGGAAGACAGCAGCTAGCAAGGGCATAGGAAAGAGTATTCCAGGCAGTGGAAATGACAAGTGCAAAGGACCTGGGGCAGTACTGTTCTTGGCAAGCTGAAGGGTCATCTAAATTGCCAATGGGGTTGGAGCAAAGAGGGAGGGGTTAAGAGCAGACTAAAGCAGGAGAGATGGATGAGGAGCAAGTCTCAGGAAAGCACACCATTGACTTTTCCCACAGCAAGGATTCAAGGTCTCTGCTACTGTGCCTCCTTCCTCTGTGTCAGTTTTGGAAGGTCAGTGTTAACATAGGCAAGATTGGTCCTTTAAAGCAAAATTCTATGATTCCATAGCATGGAGAGGAGTATGGTAAATATAGATGCCACAACACAACTGTACTTTAGATTTCTCAAGCAATTTTCATCTTCCATCCTTAAGTCTAGGAAAACTTAAAATATTCTGCACTAGACTTTTTGTTTTCTTAGCATTTGAAAGCACAACGTGTACCCTAAAGGAAACCAAAAAACCATATCACGTGCTCTTACATTCCATTTGGAGCAGCAAAGAATCATTTATAACTCTAGAAATTCAGAAAACCATTTAAGGTATTTTATGAGATCTAAATTTGATTTTTAATGACTCAATACATGACAGCCATGAGAAAATGGGTTAAATTCACTACTTCCTAAAGGTGGCTCAACTCAGGTTCTTTTTCATGACGTCAGCTCTTGGTTAACTTTCCTTGAGGTTTCTCACAGGTCTGGTTCACGAGGTTTTCTTCCATATGCAATTAAGGGAAGAGTTCTTCAGGCCTTCCTCTCTTCTCCTTGAAACTTGGCACACACAGGCACTAAATTCTTTCCCCTCTAAAAAACCTAAGCAAGATGAAGAGATTAAAAATTCCAGCCAGGGCTCAGTGCTAGGAGAGCAGAGGCAATGTAATTCCAAGGCAACCGCTAGTAGGGGACATCCTTCACAGGAATTAAAGAGCAGAGCCCAGCTGTGGGACAGGCCATCTGGAAGAAGTCTGTAACCCACTGAAGCAAGTTACTCAAGTTTTAATCATCATCCATTATTCTTGGTTGTGTCTGTGATGTACTAGCTAGTGTGCTCCTTGACCATCTCATTGTGTCTGATGGAGTGATGCGGTTGCTAGGAGACTGCTCGTTAAGCTAGCATTGCAACCCAAACTGGCAAAATCATGGTCATTTAGATGCAAGCAACCCTACTAGGTAATCAAAGTCTATAATAGTCCAGGTGATCCTTGCTCCATAAGTAGGTAGGTCCACATCACCAGTTCATCTTATAAATACAAATAGAAAGGCGAAAAGAATGCAGTCTGTTACCTAGAGGAAGGTCATCTGGTGGAGTGGTTATAAGCACTGGCTTTGGGATTAGAATCCCTGAAATTGAATCTTGGCTCCATGGCTTCCTAGCTATGTGACAAAAGTAATGTAGTTAACCTATCTGTGTATCAGTTTCTCCATCTAAACTAGAAGTAATAGGAATACCTACAGCATAGTGCTATTGTGAGAATTATGTATACCAGGAACTATTATAAGCATTTTATATTTATAAAGTCACTTTCTTTTCTTCATTTCTGCTGAGGCAGATACTCTTCCATTTTACAGATGGAAAAACTGAGGCACAGAGTTTGCTATCTATGTGCCCTAAATAGCAAATGTCAGATCTGGGATTCAAACTTGGATAGTATGGCTCCAAAGCCTGAATTCTCAACTGCATTACCATAGTGATGGATACCTGAAGCTCTCAGGACAATAGAGCCCATCATAAGTGGTAGTTGTTGTTAACAGCAGTAACTTAGAAGGTATGGTCTGCAATGCCATAGCCTGAGACTGCCTGCAATTATGTGTCCCCTACTTGACAATCAATGTAGGAGACTAGATATGGAAAACATCTGTGACCTGAGCAGGGGTGGGTGGTGGTTTCTTCAACAGGACCGTGGCCTCTCTCTTACTCATGCGCCTTCTCAAAGGCTCACATGCTTCTTTCAGGGCCAGCTCAGTCACCTGGAACCCTCACAAGATGATGGGCGTGCTGCTGCAGTGCTCCGCCATTCTGGTCAGGGAAAAGGTCTGTACACTAAAGATACGCTGCTGGCTGCACATCCTTTCGACAGTGCCTGAAGGGAGAAGCAGGGCACCTTTTCACAGCGCTTGCTGGCTAACTGGCAAAGTAGGCAGCCACTCTGTGAGAATGCCAGGCTTGCCTTCACTGCCCTTGAGGTAGCCTAAATTCTACTCTTGGCTCTTGCTGTCATCTGCCCTTCTTCTTTGTTCAACACTTAGGGCTTTGTTTGTGACAGAACCTTTACAGGAGCTCTTTAATTGAGTATTTCATCATGTTTGCACAAACATGAAAGTTATGCGGTAAGCCACTCAATCCATTTTGTCCCCAGTGAGAAGAAAAAGTGCTCACTGGAGCAACCTTTGACTTCTTACTGTAAATTTGTGGTCCCAAGAGCTGAAATCAATGAGACAGAACAAAACCTGCAATTGCCAACTTAGAGCAACAAGGAAGGTTGAGCTAGTGCCGTACACCATTCTGCATACATTTGGCGACAGGACCTGCCCGGCAGTGTGTTGTTGCTTTATAGAACTGCTGCACCTGAGGCACCCCAAAAAGTCTGTCCCCAGTCTGTAGGAGTCAGAACGTACACAGGGTCTTCGCTTCTCTCACATGGAGAGTCCTCGTTAACGTCACAGGAGAGCTTGCAAAGGTTGGAAGACTCTGGAGACAGGGCCTTGCAGGAGGAGAGTTCACAGCTTGTGACTTTCCCACCTACTGAGGAAGTTTATTTCCCCAGCCCCTGCCCAGACTGCCATAGTAATCCTCAGTCTCTGAAATGACCCACGACACCCACACACATTTCCATGTGTCCTTTAGAGGGACAGCGGGGCTTTTGTTACAGGCCTCTGAGACAAGGGATCATTTTCTAGCCCAAGTGATAGGAGGCAAAAGGACAAAAAGTTTTTCTGAGGATGGTTTCAGAGGACATCAGAACAAGTGAGGCCTCCAAAAGACAAAAGAAAGATTTCATGTGACCTCAAATCCCTCCTTTCATACACATCTCTCTGAATACAGATGCGTGAATCTTGATTTCCACAATAGGGTATACTCCAAGGATGCAACCAGATGTGTGCAGGGTACCTCTTCCAGCCAGACAAGCAGTATGATGTCTCCTATGATACTGGCGACAAGGCAATTCAGTGTGGCCGCCATGTGGACATCTTCAAGTTCTGGCTCATGTGGAAAGCAAAGGTATGGGGGAGGGGACCAGGAAATAGAGCAGAAATGTAATTTGCACAGACTAGCTGGGGAAAGAGAGGAGCATAGATAATTCACTATGTTTGTAATCAATATCTAGATAATTGGGTGAGCTATATTTTCTTTGTAAAGGAAATAACTTTATTCCTTATGTCAAATTCTCTCTTCTTCAATTCAGTCTCCTCAATTTGAATTATCATGAACTTGCCTTGTAACTTTCTCTTACCGTACTAGAAATTATGCCAAAATAAGGATTTCTACAGCAGTCTTTAGAGGTACTGAAATATTTAGTGCAGATACAGGGAAAGAAATAAAACTACTGTGTTACTCTGAGTAGAGACTTGGACTTCTTTCTGAGGTGGAATACATGTATGACAGTTTTAAGTTCTACTTAAATAATGGCGTCCCTAGTATTCACACTTTATACTGTTATGAAATCTGCACACTACTTATCCATCTATTTATTTATTTATTATTGTGGCTACAATTGCAAACTGCATATTTTAGTCTAAGAAATCCTACTGCTACATTGAAGTATGCTTGCAGTCATCAACTTCTCCGATAGCATTTCTAAGAAAAAGCTAAACTATTGGACTTTCCCCCAAAATATGAGTAAGGGAGACTACCACTTTTATGCACAAAAGTAAAGGCAATTTTGATTTTATAATTTTGATTGTTTTTATTCACCTAAAAATTAATTTCCATGTTTAATACTGGGACTACATAACACAAAAAAATCTAATCAGACATTTCTTCTGTAGGAAAAACTTGGTAGATTATTGGGGTTTTTTTTCCTCATTAAGTCATTTTGCCTCAATATAGAAAGAGTCTACGTTTTATTTCTACCACAAAGTAGCCATAGGTATTTTAAGCATATCAGTGTCATTCATTGCAATAAGAGAAAGCCCTATCATTTTGAAAGATTATAATGACCATATGGCCTGTTTCAGTTTGCCTGACAATAACCTCCTGAACTGTGTTCAAGGTTTGGCCCATAGAACTGTGTTCAAGGTTTGACTGAAACAGGTCCTAGTGTGGGTTTTTTCCCAATGTACAATCAGCAGTGACTCTACTTGGGGGGCTCACACTTTGCCAGTGTTGGACTCTGCCTCAACGCATTAGCCATCCACAAACCAGCATCTGTTCTTGTTAACACCGACCCACTCACCAGCCCTCATGCTGCTGTTAGTAATCAGCCATGCTGGCTTTTGAAACTCATGGCCAACCAGTATGTCAGTAGTTGGAGCTATTGCAATCTCAGGGCATGTACTGGGACCAGTGGCTTCCCCATCTGCCTGCTTGCCTGTCACAAAAAAGGAATAATGCTGTGTTGTGTGGACGGCAGCCTGCGAGGGTGTGAGACACATTTGGTGGGGGCTTCTGCTAGAAAAGTGAAGAAGGGTTCTAAGACAGTGCCTTCCAAAGTACTGCTGATGGAGAACCAGTTGTCTGTTCTTTTAACCTGCCATGAACCAATGCAATAAAGATGAATTGTTAGAAAAGTAAAATATAAAGTATTCAAAGTACAAACCCCTATTTTTGTATTAGTGTCACTGGACATAAAATTACTTTTGAAGTTGCTTTAAAAGATTCTTAATGCTTAATCTCAATTTCTACATTCATCTCAAACCTGGATCAGTTACAGGTTGTGGACTGGCCTCAGTCTAGGGAGGACACTTTGAGTAGTACTATCCAAAGCCAACCAGAAATAGGCTTCAAGTTCATGCTGAGTAACTAGCAAGAAGCTAAAAGCCCTGTTGACAAACACTGCCCAGAGACTAGAGAGCCTTCAAAAGAGATAGCAGGCACACTTTATTTTGTCACATGCAGAGCTGCAAAGAGGCTGCATCTTTCCAACAGTTGCTCTTTCCAACTGTCTCCAAAAATATGCTTGCTTATATTTCTCCTAACAATGACAGTGTAGCCTTCCCAAGAGACCATCACAGCTATCAACAAACATGACTTTTCTCTTTAAAACAGGGCACAGTGGGATTTGAAAATCAGATCAACAAATGTCTTGAACTGGCTGAATACTTGTATGCCAAGATTAAAAACAGAGAAGAATTTGAGATGGTCTTCAATGGTGAGGTAGGTTGTCCTCAGAGATCATAGATGCATAGTGCTTTCAGAAAAAAATATCAAAGAAAGCTTCTGAAGCCATGTTTCCCACATTGGCATGGCTGCTTCTGAACTTTCATTCTTATTCCCTCTTCACTTAATTCCCTTCTGGTTGCACTGGGGTGAGTTTCCTCCATTACCTCTTCTACAGCCACATGGCCCTCAGACGACCTTTGCAGACTAGAGATCTTGCTATGGCAGTCTGAATCCCTCACCATTCTGGGCTTTCTCTTGTGTTGGACTCCATGTTAAAATATTTCTCAGATCCAAGAAGCTTAAAGTAAACTGGCTCTAAAATGAGGTTCTACTTGACATAGATTCATTGTGAAAAGAGCCAAATAAAACCATCTCTGCCCTGAGTTCAAATCCCCATTACACGCAGTAAAGTATCTGTCATACTCATGTTTCCTGAGTATTCACCGTATGCCAGACCCTATGGCAGGGGCTGGATTACATGGTATTGACCACAGCACATACTGTCTTTGCTAATGGAGTTCACAGTTGAATAAAGATTGGATCAAAGCCAGTGCCCATAAAAGAAAATCCACTTGCAACCCAATGTAATAGATATAGCACCATCTACATTCAGCATTTGTCTATCAGACAGCCTCAACTATTAGGAAAATACCCGAGAATCACCAGATAAGCACAAAAGAGCTCTGGGCAGGTAAAATCTATGGTCTAGTACTTATGCACCTCACCTCTAGGACCTTACTCTGATTCTTTATACTATTTTAACATTGTATTTGCAGATTGAAAACAGAAAGTGTGATGCCTCATGCCAGTTAGAAATAGCATAGTGCCTGCAGGTAGCAACAAGGAGGAAAATGAAAAAATGATACCATCACCAGTTAAATATTCAGTATCAATAAAATAAACTGTCTTTTGAGCACTGTCTGTAGGTGAGGCACTATAAGTGGAAAGGTATATAGAACCTTTTTCTCAATTACCCAAATGTGATGAAACACTTCGGTGTTTAAAGGTGGTAACCTTACTTAGCTAGAAAATTGATGGTGGAGAACAGTTCTTTTGCCAGATTTGATTAGGTAAACCAGGAATCAACTTTGCCTTTGAGACAGACAATCTGAGAAACTTATTCCAAGGGTGCATATGGGTTTGGGAACAGTTTTCTCTCAAGTGCTTATAATTATTTGTTTGTTCGTTTGTTTGTTTGTTTGTTAAAATCTCTGCAGCCTGAGCACACAAATGTCTGCTTCTGGTATATTCCACAAAGCCTCAGGGGTCTTCCAGATAGTCCTGAGCGACAGGAAAAACTCCACAGGGTATGGACTCCCTTTTTGTCTCATTTAATCCTCTGAAGTTTTTCTGGCTGGTCAGGACATCCTCATTCCAATGTGCTGTTCTAAAGGGTGAGGAACAAAAAAGCCTTGGGGTGGGCTTCCAGAAATGGTGGGGTTGGGAAGCCATCTTGGTATGTACTTCTGAGATCTGCATTATTCCATTGCTGTGACTTATATATATCAGGCATCTCTAAAGGATGCATCTCTGCCATAGGTTGTGCTCATTACAGGGGCTGTATGCAGAGCAAGCAAATGGTATAAATATTCCTAAGAACATTCTACATTAAACTATGTCTGTTATAATATCTTCTAAGCCTAAGTTCACGCTAATGCTGATTCATTTTAGAAGTTGATTGCTGTATTTAGTTTTATGTTATTCAGAGTTGTTGGTATTATATTTATGTTATATTGCATTTATCCAACCATTGAACAAATATTTGTTAAACACAGTCTGTGTGCCAGGCAGTGTCCTGGGCTCTGGGTTATGCTGAAACCTTAATTTGTATTGTTGAGGTTTTTGTCATTGTTTTCCTTTTTGATTTTAATATCATTGTTCCATGGCTGACTTCAAAATTGAGTCACTCAGTACCTTTCAAGGAAACTTATGATTAGGCAGGCTTAAATAATTACTAGGTATTAACCACCAAAGACACCTGGAACTAAAATATTTCTTTGCTTTTATGTCAGTATAAACACAAGTAATGAAAAGCAAAATTAAATTGAACTGTTAAAAACAGGAGGTGCTCATGTCAGTGTTCTACTTTGTTTTGCATTTTCCATCACAAGGTGGCTCCAAAGATCAAAGCTCTCATGATGGAGTCGGGCACAACCATGGTTGGCTACCAGCCTCAGGGGGACAAGGCCAACTTCTTCCGAATGGTCATCTCAAACCCAGCTGCTACCCAATCTGACATCGACTTCCTCATTGAGGAGATAGAAAGACTGGGCCAGGATCTGTAACTGCCCTTTACAGAACAGGAGTTGATGGGAATTCCCTTTCCTTTGGCAATCTAGGTCAAACCTCTATCCATTGCTGAAACACCTCTGCCATTTCACTGAAGGAAAACATAATATTTTGAAGAATAGTTGTTACAACCTTACTGAAGCTTGTTTGTTAGAGTTAGCAGGAAATAATGTTCTTTTTTATTTAAAAAAAGTTGCACATTAGAAACACAGTATATATGTACAGTTATATATACCTCTCTCTCACTCTCTCTCTCTCTCTCTCTCTCTCTCTCTCTATATATATATATATATATATATATATAGTGAGTGTGGCTTAGTCCTAGATCACAGCATGTCTCGCACCCCCACAGAATTAACATCACCTTCAACAGTTACTGTGGGTCCAAACACCCTGCAGACCAGCTTGCCCAACAGCCACAGGAAAGATGGCTTTCCAAATGCTGTGTCCTAGGGACCAAGGGAAATGCTATTGGCAAGGGTTGACCTCACTGTCAGCATTTTTCCCACCTGAAGTAATGATGGATGAGAAAAAAGTACTACCAGATGACAAGAGTCACACCCTCTCCATTAGGATGCTGTTAGGGAAAAATAGTAGCAGAGTTATTGTTATAGGTGTATTGTATTTTTAGAGATTAATTTGTGTAGATTGTATATATCACCGTTGTCTGACCTCGTGCGCCTGCGGGGAGGAACATGTAAGGATTTCAGTGACTGTTTAATTGTCAGTCAGTGAAATATTTGCTTATTTATATTCAGAGATTTACCATGTTAAAGAGGCATCTTGTATTTTCTTCCCATTTGTAATTTATCTTATTTATATATTAATGAAGTAAGTTCTGAATACTGTTTATGGTATTTTCGTGCATTTGTGAGCCAAAGAGAAAAGATTAAAATTAGTGAGACTTGTATTTATATTAGCGTGCCCTTAAAAATGATTTAAGCATAAGTGTACTGTCTTTAAAAGAATTCTCATACAGTACATAGAGTCATGCATATGGAAATCCTATTACTTCAATAGTATCTGCTCTTGTCTTACCCCCGGTATGGCTGTATGTCTGGTGTTCTCAATGCTTTTCTAGTAACTGTTGAATAATAACTAGATCTCCTGTAATTTTGTAGTAGTTCATGACCAATCTCTGTGACTCGCTTAGCTGAAACCTAAGGCAATGTTTTTAAAGACCTTCTGAAGATCTCCAATAAATTGAGCAGTCTCACAACTGTTTTTGAAGAAATGAAATCCACACTGTGCGTTTTAGAGTATGCAAAAAGAATATAAATAAATAAAAATATTCTCCATGGAGAATTTGAACAAAGTTTCTCACTCTGGTTTGTGTTTCATATGTAGAGATTTCTAATTATTAGTTACTTGGTCTCCCCAGCCCATTCATTTTCCACTAGTTGACTTTAGGTTATGCTCAGTATTTTTATTAAGCTGAGACTCGATCCACTGTCATAGGTCCTGAACCTCTCATCAATATCATTATGATTGTAGTTAAGTAAAATTTGCTGATCAAGCCTTGAGAAAGAGAAGTCCATCCCTGTTTCTCATTTTCCTGTTTGCATCTTGGAGTTCTATTCATTCAGTCTTTCCACAAGCATTGTCTTCTAGGCACTGAATTGCAGTGGTATATAAGACACACAAGTATTCCTGCTGGTGAGAATCATATCATTAGGCACAAGATCACAGAATCATACCTTCTTGCTGCATATGCTTGTATTGTATAGTGTGGTCCCGATACAGTTCCTCAGAAAATAAATTTTGCTTCTCCATCATTAGGAAAGAGGCCCCAATTTCTATGATATTTTATTAAGTTACAATAAATACCATCTCATCATGAGGAATTCTCTATTTAGCACATCTAGGGAATAGAGAAGAGTCATTTGTAGTTAATGTACTGATTACACATGTAACTATTATATTGCACATACTGAACTCTACAAGGAGTGGTCAGAAAGCCATTTTATTCTTCCACTGTTCCTTCAAATCCTTTCAGTGGGCTGATTTTTTTTCCCATGCCCTTATTTTAATTCAGGCCAATTCCATAGCTATTCTGGCCTCTGAGGCACAAGAAGTGTTTAATTTTAGCAATTAAAGGTCCATCTCAGCCTGATAAAGTGGCTCAAGTGGTAAGAGTACCTGCCTAGCAAACTTGAGGCTCTGAGTTCAAGCCCCAGTACCACCAAATCAATTAATCAGTAAATAAATAAATAAAGGTCCATCTCAGTGAAAGAAGCAAGGCTTCAAATTTTTATACCATATAGTCTCCCCACCCCTAGTCTGCCACTGTTTTAGGCTGCAAGCCTCGCATGGCAGGGAGGCTGGAGGTGAGGAGAGGTCTTCTTTTCTAAACCCTTTGAGTTCATACCCAGCAACTGTATTTGCTCATACAGGGTCACCCAAGGAGTTGGGGGAGGGTTAAAGTAACAAAGGCACAATTTTTCGTAGCATGATTTAATTGTCATCTGGCATTTGGGACCCTGGGACAGTTTTTGAGGGTTTTTAAAATTAAGGTAAATTCACTCTTTGCAGTGTTCTGTGTATAGTTTTCTGTGAATTTTGACAAACCCATTCATTCATGTAACCTCCACCACGTTGAAAATCTAGAAGAGTTCCGTCATCCCAGGAACTCCCCTGCCTCTTTGTACTCAATATCTCCAGCCCCTGACCACCTGGTTTGTTTTCTCCCCTTGAGTTCTGCCTTCCCATCATGTAATGAGTCATATATTGTTCAGCCTTTGTGTCTGCTTCTCTCACTTCTCATGGTGCACTTGCAATCCATCCATGTTGTCTATGTATTCCTTTCATTTCTTTCATTACTGCATCACAGTCAGTGTGGAATTTGAGTTGTTTTCACTTTAGGGTAATTAAAGTTGCTATAAACATTAGTATGTAGATTTTGTGTAGGCATACATTTCATTTAACTTGGGTAAATACATAGGTGTGGGATTCCTAGATTATATGATAAGAGTATGGTTAACATACTTTACAAGAAACCGCTAGCTGGGCATGATGGTGCACACTTGTAATCCTAGCTACTCAGGAGGCAGAGACAGGAGGATTGCAAGTTCAAGGCCAGCCTGAACAAAGAAAGGACTATGTCTCAAAATCAAAAGGGCGGGCAGTGTAGTTTCAGTAGTAAGTACTTGCCCAGCATGCACAGTGTGAGCCACTAGAGTGGCTGTGCCATTTTGCATTCCTACCAGGAATGCACAAATTTTTCATTTCCTCCATATTCTTCCTGACACTTGGTATTGTCAACTTTAAAAAAACATTAGCCATTCTGTAAGTAGTACCTTGTGCTTTAATTTGCTTTTTCATGAAATACTGGGAGGATGCCACTGGGGTTCTCTTCCCTCATCACAAAGGAGGCAACCGCGATGACCACTTAAGATGTGACCCTTTCTTCTGAGCCCCTGACAAACTACTCTGAAGATTTAGTCCAGGTTTTTTGATGGGATCCCTTCTCCTTCAGGCAGGATTGTTGGCATTCCCATATACTGTTTTGAAGATACGTGCCTTGTTATTTTTCTTTTCTTTTTCTTTCTTTCTTTTTTTTTTTGATACCTTTTTACTTTCAAGTCTTTAACTGACCTTTATGTTTGGCTCTTCTTTAATATGACTAGCCTTCTCTTCCATATAAATTTTAAAACTATATAATCAAGCTTCATAAAAAAATTCCTGTTGGAATTTTTATTGGAATTTCATTGATCTCTGGACCAATTTAAAGAATACTGAAGTCTTTCTATAGTAACCAAAAGCATACTTTATATCTCCATTTAACTAGGTCACCTTCGCTGTCTTCCAATACATTTTCATAACAGACATGCCCAGCTTTTGATAGATCTGTTCCAAGGTGCTTTATATTGTTATTTTTGAAGGCATCTTTTAAAAAGTACTGTGTGTGTGTATGTGTGTGTTTTGAAACAGGGTCTCACTATGTAACCCAGGCTGGCCTCAAACTCCTAATCTTCATGCCTCCAGCTCTCAAGTGCTGGGATTACAGGTATGTACCACCATACTGATGAAAAATTACATTTTCTGTTTGATTGTGGTTAAACATGTGGTTGCATTTTGGGTAATGATTTTGAATCCAAAAAGCTTGCTAAAACTCAAATAACTTTGTACCATTGATGGATCATAACAGTATAACAGTTTTGTTTATTGATTCCTGATTCTCATACTTTCTTTTCCTTAATATTCTGCCAAAGCTTGGATATGCAGCACTGTGCAGAAAAGAAGTGTGAGTAGGCATCCCTGACCTATTCCTGACATTAGCAGGAAGGCTTTCACCACACGCTACTTGGCTTTGTTGCATTCAGGTTTTTTGGAGATAACCTTCACTGAGTTAAGGACATTTCTTTTTACTCCCAGATAGCTAAGAGTTTCTATGCTAAGTGAATGCTTAATTCCATCAACAACATTTTCTGTTGATTGGGACAATCATATCTTCTTCACCTGGTAATGCGTCTTTACTCATAAACTTAAGCTTCCCATGTCTTATTGAGTCAGTTTTTGCAGGTTGTAGGTTTCCAGAAATTTATACATATTTGAAGTCTTCAGATTTACAAAGTCTGTTTGATCTCTAGTCTGTTCCCCATTTTTCCCAATAGTGTTAACTTGCATCTCCTCATCTTCTGGTATTGATTAGTGTCAGCAGAGAATTACCAGTTTCATTAAGCTTGTCAGAAAATGTCTTTGACAATGCTCTCAATCATATGATTGTTTTTTACCTCATTAATTTCTCCTCACATTTTTATTATTTTCTTCCTTCTACTTTAAATTTCTTTAAGTTTTATCTGCTATACTTTTGTCTAACTTCTCAGGTTTCATGTATAGGTCATTAATTTTGAGCTTTTCCTCTATTTGGAAACATTTAAGAAATGAGGGCTGGGAGTGTGGCTCAGTGGTAAAGTGCTTGCCTAATGCATGAGGCTCTGGGTTTGATCCCCAGCACCACAAAACAACAACAACAAAAAGCCAAAATAGAACAAGAAGTATATGTTTCCCTAAAATCATCCCTTTAGCAATATATTACAAGTTTAAGTACATAACGTTTTGTTATCATTCTATTATATATATGGTAGCTTTGTTAATTTTCCCTTGTACATCATGATTTTTCTTATTTTTATCTTTATATTTTTGGCAACACTGAGGTTTGAACTCAGGGTTTCATGTTTCCTAGGCAGACACTCTACCACTTGAGCCAGCCCTTACTTTTCAGGTACGGTCTTGCATTTTTG